TTTTTTCACACCATAACATTATACCTATATAAATCATTTATTGTTATCGGTTTATAAAGTTTCAATGAATAGTAGGTACTTCATTTATTTTAGAGGTGAGTTCAATTTGAGATGGTTCAGATTTGGCATATCTTGATATCTATCCTCATGAGCAAATTATGAATCGGAAATAAATCGGCCAGAGATAAGTTGTGAGATGACCATCTTCTCGAAAATATCCTCTTAAACCTGCAAAATATGCCGGGGAGATTCCCAACGGAAAACCGTGACGCTCAAGTCAGAAATCATCTCACAATAATCTTTTAGGAGAACATGAATTACTTTTAAATAATAACTGACCTGAGACCTTGTTATGGAATAGATTTGAGTATATCATGTTTCCTAATCATACACGATTCTAGGAAAGAACCATCTATTTATAGAAAAGATTTCTCATTCACTGAATTATTGCGTCCTGTTACATTAAGAAGTGAAACATGTCCAAAAAGATCATATGCCTTAATTCCGACACGACACATCCCTTTATTCAATGCCTCAACCGAAGAGACACCCTCCCAGCTTAACCATCAACCTAATCGACAAAAGTTGAAGTCCATGAAATAACTTCTCATGTGCATCGGCGATCTCCTCCACACTTGGGAACTTGGGGGCCTCCATGTTGTACCCAAATTCTTTAAGATCCGATCTCGCCCGCCAAGAGGAAACCAGACAAATAATTTGGGACTATACAAGTCCAAAACACCAACAACCCATACAACATGCGGACGACCCAAAAGGCAACACTAGCCGAGTATGTCGATCCCTCATGATCGGCAGATAATGACTCTAGTCGAAATGCCCTATATCTTTTCTTGGAAGATTTGACGATCTCCCTCACATATGAACGCTGAATTATCAAAGCTGGTAAAGCAACTTCCCCGAGACAATAATTATGCTCTTTTCATTAATATTTATACTAGGAATACTCGAGTGTGTGATGAATAGCCAATATAAAGCGTTTTAAATTGAAAAAGAGATCAACTTTGTCGATACCTTGTTGATGGTTGGGAAAATAATTAATTTGCATGAAGACATTTATGTATACCAAACACTTCTTTGAGATATATTATTTCTGATGATATTGGCTTACTACATCAAAGTTCTAACTATTTCTTGTTTTTTTGAATGATACTAGACAACACCTAACCAACCGAATAAATCAACTACTTATCTGAATCTAGTTAGAAGGACTACACCAAAGGTAGCCTAGAATAAACCTAGAAACTAAACAACCGCACAAACACTAAAAACTAAAAAATGTCCAACATGTGAAGAATAAAGGCTCCCAAACATGAGAATCAGGAAACAAAAAGCACCAAGAAAAAATGGAAAATCTAAAACATACAAACAAACAAGAAACAACCTAATATTTAGAATTCTCCCCACAAGTCGAAAGTACCCTGACCGCCACTGTTGGTTAGTTGGTGTGTATACTGAAAGCTCGACTTTTTTGTTGATACTTATCACTTTTGAATGAGAATCATGTTTAACTAAACAATCTACGTTTTGATGTTTTACATTTAGACATCACGGATGGATAAAAAATCACATATTAGTTACTTGTGAAACATAAGTAATCAGGTAATGAACGACCCATCATGAACGGTTGTAGTGATAATTGTACAGTCTGTCTTCACTAATTGTTTGCACTAGTACATTATGATTATTGCACGGATCCAGATAGGATAAGTTTGTTTTATACTTATAAAGTAAACAAACTAGAACTCGGTTAATTACTACGTACTCTAAACCCGTAAAATAAAAATAGGCATGTGCATGCAATTTCTGCTGCTTTGATTCACCAAAAAATGAGATCCATTCAACTATAGGTCAAAAGTCTTGACGTGTTTTGGGTAGTAGTGTTGTGTGTGTGGTGTGTTGTTCGAATATTCACAGTAACCGTGTGTGATGTCTGATGATTTCCCCGAGATGCGCTCAAGACGGATTATTATGTTAAACCTGGCTGGTAGTATTTATTCCGACATAATAATAAAGTTTTGAATGGTACTAGTCTCGGTTCAAGAAGTCAATTAATTATATTATCAATAATTAAATCAATTGATGAATATTATATCTTAATTACGAGAAGGTAAATCGGGTAATTATCAATAGAGTCTCAAATGTAATTTCAACGCTAAATGGAGAGTGCAATAATATTTTTTTAGTGGACTGAAATATTATTCAAGTTTGAGCAGAGTGAGCTTGGCTCACAGTTAGACCAAAACTTGGAAAACCCGTATTTAGCACCGCCTAAGTGTCCCTATTGTAGCCTATAAATACACCACATCTCTTAGATATGGAGTGATGAGTGCTACACAATCACACGCATATAGCCGCTCCCCTCTCTCTCTCTCTCAAGAAATTTCAATTGAGATATCTTCGAGATCGTCGCCCATCAAGACGAACGGAAAAGGTGTCGGGTCATACAACAGAAGATCATATGTAAATCGAGTCAAAAATCACAATATATTTATCCCTAGTAATAGCACGGAGCCACTGACGATCAAAACTGTGCATTTATTAATATGGAGGAATATGGCATTTTAGATTAAAATTTTATGAATAAATTAATTGTGGCTCAATAAATTTCAATGAAAATTAATATTTCAACGAAATATCTACAACTTAAATTTGATGCATTGTAAAATAAGGTGTAACTTGGATGATTGTTAATTTTAAAACTAATCATGTCATGTATAAAATAACAATATTGTCACGTATTGGTTGTATCTCAATCATTATATTCAAATATTATCATAATTATTTTTAATTCAACCCTTTATATTGGTACTTTGGTAGTTATCGTGTATTAAAAATTATTTCCTCTTCATTTGGAATATAAATAATGTAATTAAAAAATGAACGTGCATTGCATTAAAGATAATTAAATCAAATCAAGGTCCACGCTAATGAACGAATCACATCACAACGAGGACAGTGACACTAAATGAACCACGCCAATGGATTGTACGAGCTCTTCTTATGGTATAATTCTTGGGCCTAAACTACACATTGAAAATGACTCATCAAGTAATCGTGACGCTCGAGTCCTTTTCATGATTATTGCGGCCATCTAACCGTTTCAAGGCCCAAAGAAATATCTTCAATAACGGGCTTGGACCGTCTTACAGGCCCAATAAATCCAACCAGTCCAGAGAATGTATTTTTTTAGCCCAAAGGCCCACCTCCTTTAATTTCTCTACAACCTTTAACAGACTGCCATTTCTCATCACCATCGGCGAGAAATTACTGCTTAATTCCTCTGTAAGTCTCTCTCTCTCTCTCTCTCTCTCCTTTTCTTTACTGTTTAAGTTTCGATTTTTCTTTTCGATTTTCGTTTGAGAGATCTGTCACTTGAAAGCACATGTATGAGCCCAACTATTCCACTCGGAAATTTGGGAATCGATTTGATGTCGGATTTGAGTCGTTTGGTATTTTTGTTAGTAGGATTTGAATTTCTTCTCGAGTTACTTGAAAAAATGTAATGTAATTATGATAATCGCTTGTGTATGGTGCATAGTTGATCGGAATCTGTTTAGATGGAAAAGGGGAAATCCCGCTTTTTCTTGGCCATTGATGCCTTTTGGTTTACTTAACGAGCTTAGATTCAGTGATTTTCACTATTTTTGCGTTGCCATAGTCTTATATTTCAGCGAAAGGTGATATGTTGTCAAGCTTGGTCTGTGACGATAACAAACTTAACTTGAAGGAGGTCTTGGTAGATGTTGAGTTGATTATCAGTAGTTTGAAGCATATAAAGGACTATCTTTGTACACTTTCATATCTGGGCTTGGATGATTTTTTTCGGTGGTGAATATTCATTTTGGAAAGATACATCCTATCGTCCTATAGTTCTTGAATTCTGATGGCAAGTACTGGGATTGTTCTTAAGCTGCTAGTGGATTGAGTTTGCATTTTTATCCAACTGAAGTTCTGAATGTTAGATCTATGAGATGTATTGATAATTAAACCTAGTGATCCAAATCTGTACTAGCATCCTATCATTGGAGAGTGAGTTTTTATTTATTTGATAATTTTTCCGCCATATCTCTTGTAATTGAAGAGTGAGTTATTATTTCTTTGATAATTTTTCCGCCATATCTCTTGTAATTTGCTGTTGATAGCCCGATTACAGTTGAATTTTCACAGCTACACATGGATGTGGCCGCCGAGACATCGTACAAGCCACCGGCAGGTTTTGTGGAGGATAAAAGGGACCCGCTCGTCGACCTCGAATTGGCAGAGTCGACTGAGCTATGGCTTATTCAGTGGCCAATCAATCAAGTACTTTTTTTTCTCTACGAAAATGTCATCTTTTTGTTTGTACATTGAGTAATTATCTCGCTGATTCGTAGCTCTATGGATGTAAATTGATGAACGAGTTTAATGTGTTACAGCCTCTTGATTTCGATGGGCAATCGGTGTCGTTGAAGCTTGGCCGCGATGGGCACTTGGGCACCTTGGAGGGGTCTTCTGGTAAATTTGTTGTGGTCTTGTGGCGTATTTGGTTGTATTTCTGGTTTGCTGTTAGAATCTGCTTGTTCAATGATACTTTTGGGTAACCTTGGCAGGAAAATCATATGAAATGGTTGGTTGTAAGACCAATGGTCCAGAGGCTAATGTCTTCTTAACTTCAACAGCGGACGCCAAAATCGGTATCTCTTGCTCCTCTCTCTTGAATTTACTTGTTTCTTTCCTTAGTCATTGTTGGTATTTTGATTAACCATAGTTAATATCATTTGAAATTATCATGGGACTATTTCTAGTTCATAATGGAACTTTATTTAGATTCTGAAGTATAGATATCAGCGAAAGTGGGTTGTCCAGCCTTTGAGTATAGTGATTATTTCCTGACGAAGTTCGAGATTTCTTTCGCTCTAGTATACGCGACTTTCTTTTGAAATTTTAACGTCGGCTGAATCCTGGGAACATTTTTCTATAATAAGTTTTGACTTCGTGAGTTAAATATTAAGACTTAACTTTGTGCTCATGTCGTGAAGATATTTTCGAACTGTTCCGCACGATCATCTTCTCTATTTTCATTTTCCTTCTCTTTCCAAAGGGTATTATTTTATTTTATTCTTTTTCCATTTCGAAATACTAAACCTCGAAGAGTATTATCCTATTTAGGTCGGTGAATAGATCCAATGCTACGCTATTTTTGTACTATTTTCAAGAAAACAAGTCAGCGTCCCACAAGGGAGTATATGTAAAATTTCAAACCATAACTTTTCATTTTTGTTATATTGCTTAGGTTAGACATCTTGAAAAGTTTTTGTTATTAGCATATGAACATTTGAGGTTTAACTGCTCTTATATACTGTAATAATCATGATGTCAGCTGGGAAAATCTCTAGGCGCATTTCCCTGATTCATTATCCGGAGCCAGGCGAATTACTAAAGCGTAATAGCCTTAGTATGGGCCTTTCCCAGCGGTCTTCTGGGGCCACCTCAACCTTGTCCGGCTGGCGACTCCCGACTCCCTCTCGAAGCATTAGGCCCACAAAATCTAAAATCAGTGGCCTTTCTACTCCGAGCAGCAGAAGCAAGAGTTCGGGCTCTGGATTAGGAGAATCTTCAAAGACCGCGAAGAGAAAACGGGCTGATGAGCAGAGCAAGCCCACCAGCAACTCAGCCCAAGATTCGGGGAGAGGAAATAGTGGAGTTACTTCTGCTGGCTCTGTGGAGCAGCATTCTCAGGTAAGGAAGTCCAAGAAGAAAAAGAAAAACGAAGATTGAGCTTTTTATTGCTGTCAGGGGTCCGAATTTTGTGTGGGGAAAAGGTGGAATTGTTTGATTGAGAGCTTTTTCAAGTGTTGATTTTGTTTCTAGATCATTCATTGTTAGAAGGAATGGTCAGATAATTTTTTGTTCTCGTTGTTTTCAGTTAAGAGAATTCCTAGCAGTTTGTGTCAACTCATTTCGGATAAAATTTGAGATGGATTTGATCGTCGCATAAAATCTATTGCTTTTGTATAAAAGTTGTGCCCAATAAGGTGTCAAAATAAATTTATTTGCTTGCAAAGATAGTTTAGGAGCACGAGTAAAGTTGGAGCTTCCTATTTTTATTGTTAATTCCAAAATTTAAGGAAAACACAAATAGATTACAAGTTCTGGACGAATATAAGGATAAATGAGGTCTTTTAATTGAGCTAATTGCAGAAATATATACCAAATGAATTGAAAGGCATCTGTCAAAAGACTCATAACCAAAACCCATCAAGTGAAATACCATAATCCATTAAGTAAACGAACTTTCACCGACTCTGATATCTTGCATCTATCATCATCCGTACACAGCTGAAATAATACATTCCTAATAACCCCAATTGTAGTCATCCCGATAAATCGTCACATGTAATTAGTTGTAGAATCCAAACCCCTCAAACTGAACCACCTTTTTTTCCTTCACTTTCAACTCTTTCCCAACAAATCAAATTCACCAAAAATCCAAATCTAGAATCACTACTTGACTAACCTAAACCCGATTTAGTCCCAGATAACGATGGCCTGATCATTGGATGATGACCAAGCGACTGCTGAGAATTCAAAGGAGAACCAAACATGGCATTAGAGGTTGTTGATGGTGGTGGGTGTATAGCCGAAAGGGGTAGCCTCGGGCCAAGCCCGTACATCATCGACATTTGGAGCGAGTCCTCGTACTTGTAGCCTAGATGCGTGTTTGAAGAGATCGATGCAGCGATTCTCGAGCTCGCGGAGCTCGGGAGCGAGTCCTCGTACTCGTAGCCTAGATGCGTGTTTGAAAAGATCGCTGTGGCGGTTCTCGAGCTCGCGGAGCTTGGGAGCGCCTAGATGCGTGTTTGAAAAGATCGCTGCGGCGGTTCTCGAGCTCGCGAAGCTCGGGAGCGAGTCCTCGTACTCATAGCCTAGATGCGTGTTTGAAGAGATCGCTGTGGCGGTTCTCGAGCTCGCGGAGCTCGGGAGCGAGTCCTCGTACTCGTAGCCTAGATGCGTGTTTGAAGAGATCTCTGCGGCGGTTCTCGAGCTCGCGGAGCTCGAGAGAGAGTCCTCGTACTCGTAGCCTAGATGCGTGTTTGAAGAGATCGCTGTGGCAGAGCGAGTCCTCCGACTCGTAGACAATTGGTCTGTGAAGACCTTGTTGTGGCAGTGCACGAGCTCGCGGTGCTCGGCAACAGGCAAGTTTAGGGCGCAAGCCTGTCGTGAGGCCGCCCGAGCTCGCGGTGCTCGGCGATAGCCAAGTTTAGGGCGCAAGCCTGTCGTGAGGCCGCTCGATTTCACCGCGAGTTCGACGATGGTCGAGATAGGGCGAAAGCCTTTTGAAGATATCGCTCGAGCTCATGGAGCTCGGCGATGGTCGAGATAGGGCAAAAACCTGTTGAAGATGTCGCTCGCGCTCGCGGAGCTCGGCGATGGTCGAGATAAGGCGAAAGCCTGTTGAAGAAGTCGCTCGAGCTCGCGGAGCTTGGCGGTGGTCGAGATAGGGCGAAAGTCTGTTGAAGATGGCGCTCGAGATCGTGGGACTCGGTGGTGCGCGAAATCCTGTTGAGTCATCATCACTCAAGCTCGAGAAGCTCGGCAGGTGTCCAATTCAAACGATTACCGAGCTTATCCTAGCCCGGCATGAAGTTAAACTCGCCGCCGCATTAGGGCAGGATAGTCGTTATGTTTATAAGCTCAGCAGCGTCGTTGTGTTTATATGCTCAGCAGCTGGTCCTCGGACTCGTAGCCAACTTTAAGGCGAAAGCCTGTCGTGGAGTGGCCCCAGCTCTTGGTGCTCGGTAGTGGGTCCTTTGACTTGTAGCAGGATCGAGGGCAATTAGCCCGTCGTGGCGGTGCTCGAGCTCGTGGAGCTCGGGAGAATAGCCCACAATGGAGGTGCCCGACTCGAACCAGCAAAGACGATGTCGCTTGGAATAGGTCGTTTGGATCGCGTAGACCTCCGTTCTAGCGAGTATTCACTTGGTGGACCGACTGGAGTGGTTAGCTCGAGGATCCAAAGGAGTTTTAGCTCTGCCTTGATACTCGACCTTATTAGAGAACTTGCATATAAAGAGAACTCACCTTTTGGAGGTCGTAAATGCGGGATTCATCGTTACAACTCGAGCAGATAGCGCCTGTCAAAACGTATTAAGGTGGCAGAACATCGAGCAGGTTGCTCGAGGGCCACAAAGTCAATGAAAGTGCAAAGTTGGCCCGAGAGCCATAGTTGCACGCAAAAGGCAGCGGAACTTCGACGTGGTAAACCATGGGGCCCGGATGAGCCCAGGATCTTGACGCCATAGTCCTACGAGAGAAGTGGTTGTTCTACTCTTAGATGAGTCTTGTGCTAGCAAGCTCGTCTAGAGTGGGGGGGGAGGTAGATGATGTAGCACCAGAAATAACTCGGTGGATCGGCCTGACCGGTTAGCTCGGATAAGGCCGGTCCAAGGGAGCTTGGAGCCTAATTTAAGTGATAAGCAGTATTAGTTATAAAGATATTCATGAAAGTTGGTGTATATCTACACAGTTATTGAGGAACATCAGAATTCTGATTTATTGAGGAAACTCATTATCTTGGGGAGTAAGTCATTAAACCCCTTATAAATAAGGGACCAAGTTCATTTTATAATCTTGAGCTCTTAAGATTACTCAAATACACGATTAGACATCTGTTTTTTGACTTGAGCGTCAGAGTGTCTACGCCGGGGCCTCGCCCCAGTGCTTTGCAGGTCGATCCGGTTCTTGAAGACGAAGGCGATCGAGACGTTCGAACTCTTACGCCAATCGAGATGAGGCGGTTCGACCGACAACCTCGGTGAGTAAATTATTTTGGCTCATCAACAGTAATGATCACCGACTGTAAATAAATTTTGTTTGTTCCGAGATCGTCCTCCTCTTTCAACATATAAATTATTAACATCAGGAATATCTATCGCACGACTTTAACAAAAAGACTTTACCTTGCCAAAGAGACTGTCATATCCATCATCTCTCAATCTTTGGATTACCCTCTTTGTAGTGCCAACAAGTTGCATGGCATTCAGAATATCTTGAGATTTGCATTGGAGAGCTTGACAAAGCGTATCAGTTATTTCCAGTATCTCTTTCATAAGATGCAAGATGAAGACGAACTCGAAAGAGGTTAATGATCTGTAAGCCGAATCTGCATCGGCTCGTTGATCACTATTGCCCTCATCAATGATGCACAACAAAACCGAGCAAGCTGCATTAAACATCTTCAACAAGCTAGAAATCGACCTCAAGTGTGAACCCCACTGTGTATCTCCTGCTCGTTGTAAGCTGCCAATTTGATTTCGTCCAGACCCTTTTTCAAGCTCATCAATAGAAATTAAGTAAGCAATATCAGAAGCTTGGGCCGCTTTTAATTCATCAACACGTTTACAAGAAGAACCCACCACATTTATGATGAAATTTAACTTTGTAAAAAAATGGTGGACAGGGATAACTTCTCTAGATACTCCAACCAACGCCAATTGCAACCGATGAGCTAAACAATGCACATAATATGCATATGGGCATTCTTTAGCAAGTAGTGCTTGTAACCCGTTGAATTCACCACGCATATTACTCGCCCCATCATATCCCTGACCCCGAATATTTTGTATGTCAAGATGTGATGAGAAAGGGTAGAGAATATTGTATCTTTCAGAGTTATTGCCTTTGTATCAGAAACATGTACAAGATCAAAGAAATGCTCCCGAACAACCCCACAAATATCAACAAATCTCAAGACAATACCCATTTGCTCTCTTTTCGATTGATCTCTGGCCTCATCAACAATAATGCAAAACTTTGCATCCCCAATTTCTTCACGAATCACTTTTTTTATCCTCATTGAGATAACAAGTAAAATGTCCTTTTGGACAGTCGGGGATGTATAAGAGGCATTTTGAGGTGCTTTGTCTAATACGACATTTGCAATATTTTCATTAAGTTTAGACATAGAATTCAAAAATTCAAGAAAATTTCCACGGTTAAGAGACTCTTTACTTTCAGCCAAACCCTGACTTGCAAGAAACCGGGCAGAAACAATTGAATCTTCAAGCCGTAATCTATTTTTTGCAATTTGTTCAGAACATTATTTTTCAATAAGTGGCTGAACATGTTGTGCTTGATTCATTAAGTCTCCACATGATTTCTCAGCAATTTGGTGCAATGAATTATGATACTTTCCAATGTGATTTAAAAATGTACAATCTTTTCCATTCTGTACTTTTTTCTAGTTTCTGAACCCATCAACAACAAAAGTATTCTGACTGTGATGCTTACCTGGTTTGTTGAACAAATAGCAAGATAGACAAAATGCAGCATCACTTGTAGGAGAATATTCTAACCAAGACGGAAATATCTTGAACCATGACGCTTGAAAACGACGAGAATACTTCCCAGATCCGATCGAAGGATAGTCTCCTCTGTATTGATAAGGACCGTAGCTAATGTAAGCTCGTCGAACTTCATCAATTTTATCAACTGGATAACTTGATATTGGCATACGCAATCCTGGTCACGTTCAAGTTTGTTCATATCAAACACCACCGGTTCAATTCTGTGTGTTTTTTCAATGTGATTAACATCTTTCTTAACAGTTGATGGTCCTCCATTATCTTCCTCAATTTGATCATATTTTCTCTTGAAAAACGCGTATATTCTTGATGACTTTTGCATACCTGAAAATAAAAATAATTGATAACATTAATATTTAAAAAATAGTATAAGCCTATATATGATTTATGAATTAGAACTTAATTAAGAAGCAACTACCATACTTACTCTCATATCTTTTGAAGAATCTTGAAAACTGAAATGGACATAGGTAATTTATTTATTACTGTGGATGGTGATGATGTTAGGTTCATTAAAACACACCAAAATATCAATTATCAAACAAAGCTCATATCTTGATTCACATAATTATCCACCCCTGCTATTATCTTAATTACTTATTTGCTCATTTATTCTTCTAGCATATCAAGGCATACAATCTTTTTATGAAATATTCTCTACAAAGTAGTACTAAAATATTGAATAAACATATAAAATACAACAACAATGACAAAATAGTTGACAGTCTTGACAAAAGGATTAACCTATT